GTCAGTCTTATTATTTGATTGTTCTGCTCCTTGTATACTACTAACACTATTATTACTACTACAACTACCATCACTATTATCACTCCTACTACTACTACCACCACTATTATCACTACTACTACTACCACCACTATTATCAAATACTACTACTACTACCACCACTATTATCACACTACTACTAAACCCCCACTATTAAACACTACTACTACTACCACCACTATTATCACTACTACTACTACCACCACTATTATCACTACTACTACTTCTACGATTAGTACAACTGCTTCTGCTTCTACTACTATTACTACTACTATTACTACTATTATCACTACTACTACTACTACTACTACTACTACTATCACCACGACTATTATCGCTACTACTACTACTAACACGACTATTATCACTACTACTACTACCACGACTATTATCACTACTACTACTACTACCACGACTATTATCACTACTACTACTACCACCACGACTATTATCACTACTACTACTACTACTACTACTTCTACGATTAGTACTACTACTTCTGCAACTACTACTTCTACTACTACTAATACTACTTCTGTTACTACTACTACTACTACCACCACGACTACTACTACTTCTGCTACTACTACCAATACTATTATTACTATTTCTAATACTTCTGCTACTACTACTATTTCTGTTACTACTACTACTACTACTACTACTACTACTACTACTGCTGCTATTACTACTACTTCTACTACTACTACCACTACTATTACTACTTCTAATATTACTTCTGTTACTACTACTACTACTACTACTGCTGCTGCTGCTACTACTACTACTTCTGCTACTACTAAAACTACTATTACTACTACTAACATTACTTCTGTTACTACTACTACTACTACGACTGCTTCTTCTACTACTACTGCTGCTACTACTACTACTTCTACTACCACTACTACTATTACTGCTGCTGCTGCTACTACTACTTCTACTAAATACTGCTACTACACTATTACTACTACTACTACTTCTGCTACTACTACTACTGCTACTACTACTATACTAAATCTTCTACTACTACTTCTACTACTGCGACTTCTACTACTACTACTCTACTGCTACAAATACTACTACTACTACTACTATTCTGCTACACTACTACTTCTGCTACTACTACTACTTCTGCTACTACTACTACTATGCACTACTACTTTCACTAATTCTTGCTACTACTACTACTTATGCTACTACTACTACTACTACTACTACTACTAAATTCTGCTAACTACACGCTATACTTCTACAACTACTACTACTACTACTACTTACTACTACCACTACTACTACTTCTGCTACTACTACTACTATTGCTACTACTTCTGGTACTACTACTATTACTACTACTACTACTACTTCTACACACTACTATATACTACTTTGCTTCAACTACACTTTTGCAACTACTACTGCTACTACTACTACTACTACTACTACCACTACTACTTCTTCTGCTACTACTACTACTACTACTACTACTACTAATACTAATTCTGCTACTACTTCTACTACTACTACTACATTACCATACTATGCTCGCTGCTACTACTACTATACAAATACTACCCTTTTCTACTACTACTACTAAATACTTAATACTATACTACTACACTACTACTTCTTCTGCTACTACTACTACTACTACTAATTCTGCTACTACTTCTACTACTACTACTACTATTACCACTACTACTGCTTCTGCTGCTACTACTATTACAACTACTACTAACTACTTCTGCTACTACTACTACTACTACTACTACTACTACTACTACTACTACTACTTCTACTACTAATACTAATGCAACTACTTCTGCTACTACTACTACTACTTCTTCTACTACTACTACTAATGCTACTACTTCTGCTACTACTGCTAATGCTACTACTTCTGCTACTACAACTACTACTTCTTCTACTACTACTACTAATGCTACTACTTCTGCTACTACTACTAATGCTACTACTTCTGCTACTACTACTACTACTACTTCTACTACTACTACTAATGCTACTACTTCTGCTACTACTACTACTACTTCTTCTACTACTACTACTAATGCTACTACTTCTGCTACTACTATACTACTACTTTCTACTACTAAATATACTACTACTTCTGCTACTACTACTAAATTGCTCTACTACTATTCTGCTACTACTATGCTAAACTATATTTTTACTACTACTACTACTATTTCTCTACTACTACTTCTTTCTACTACTTCTACTACTACTAACCCATTATATTACTACTGCTTCGCTACACTACTACACACAATCTGCTAAATACTACTACTACTTTCCCCTACACTACTTCTACTATTTCCACTACTTACTACTAGTTCTAATACTTCTCCTACTCTACTACTACTACTTTCTACTACTACTACTACTACACACTACTACTACTATACTACTACATTAACTTCTACTATACTTTTACTACTACTACTTCTACTACTACTACTACTACTACTGCAAATACTTCTGCTACTATACTACACTTCTGCTACTACTAGAACTACCACTACGACTCTACTACTACTACTACTACTATCTATTTTTTCTCTACTGCTAATTCGCTACTATTACTTCTGCTACTAATATTACTACTAATACTTCTGTTACTACTACTACTACTACTACCACTGCTACTGCTACTTCTGCTACTACTACTGCTACTACTAATAAAATTGCTACTACTAGTACTACCACTACGTCTGCTACTACTACTACTACTACTTATGTTACTACTACTATTACTTCTGCTACTACTACTACTACTACTACTACTGTTACTACTACTTCTGCTGCTACTACTACTACTACTTCTACTACTACTTCTGCTTCTATTACTACTACTACTACTACTACTACTACTATTACTACTACTACTACCTCTACTACTACTACCACTACTACTACTACTACTACTACTACTGCTACATCTAGCACTATTATTACTACTCTACTACAACGTCTTCCTGATCGGTCTTCTCGTTCATCTGTGACTGACAATTATCCAGTAGTAACTAACGTCATCTGACGTTGTCTTCCCTCACTGCGAGTTATTTTTGACTTCCTTCACCAACAATAGTGTGAATTTTCTTTGGTTAATTGTGTGTGACTGTCACAAGTTATACAACATTCACAACTATGTTAGTGATCACATTATTCATTTCTCATGTGTTGTACCTGTTTAAATCACAATTCATAATCACTATGATACATTGTACACTTAAGTGAACAATAATACATATATTGTACATGTCCGTGTACTATGATACTTATATTGTACATGTCAGTGTACTATGATGCATATATTGTACATGTCAGTGTACTATGATACTTATATTGTACATGTCAGTGCACTATGATACATATCTTGTACATGTCAGTGCACTATGATACATATATTGTACATGTCAGTGCACTATGATGCATATATTGTATATGTCAGTGCACTATGATACATATATTGTACATGTCAGTGCACTATGATACATATATTGTACATGTCAGTGCACTATGATACATATATTGTATATGTCAGTGCACTATGATACATATATTGTACATGTCATGTGCACTATGATACATATATTGTACATGTCAGTGCACTATGATACATAAAATTGTACATGTCAGTGCACTATGATACATATATTGTACATGTCAGTGCACTATGATACATATATTGCACATGTCAGTGCACTATGATATATATATATATATATATATATATATATATATATAATATATATATATATATATATATATATATATATATATATATATATATAAGTATATATATATATATATATATATATATATATATATTTTGTGTGTTGTGTGTGTGTGTGTGTGTGTGTGTGTGTGTGTGTGTGTGTGTGTGTGTGTGTGTGTGTGTGTGTGTGTGTGTGTGGTGTGTGCGTGTGTGTGTGTGTGTGTGTGTGTGTGTGAGTGTGAGTGTGTATTTTTTTTTTTTCAACAAGTCGGTCGTCTCCCACCGAGGCAGTGTGGCCCAAAAAGAAAATACTTTCATCATCATTCAACCCTTTCACCACACTCGCACATTATCACTGTTTTTGCAGAGGTGCTCAGAATACAACAGTTTAGAAGCATATACATATAAAGATACACAACATATCCCTCCAAACTGCCAATATCTCAAACCCCTCCTTTAAAGTGCAGGCATTGTACTTCCCATTTCCAGGACTTGAGTCCGGCTATATGAAAATAACCGGTTTCCCTGAATCCCTTCACTAAATATTACCCTGCTCACACTCCAACAGATCGTCAGGTCCAAACACCATTCGTCTCCATTCACTCCTATCGAACACGCTCACGCACTCCTGCTGAAAGTCCAAGCCCCTCGCCTACAAAACCTCCCTTACCCCTTCCTCCCAACCTTTTCGAGGACGACCCCAACCCCACCTTCGTTCCTTCACAGATTTAAATGCTCTCCATGTCATTCTACTTTGATCCATTCTCTCTAAATGACCAAACCACCTTAACAACCCCTCTTCAGCCCTCTGACTAATACTTTTATTAACTCCACACCTTCTCCTAATTTCCACACTCCGAATTTTCTGCATAATATTTACACTACACATTGCCCTTAAACAGGACATCTCCACTGCCTCTAACCGCCTCCTCGCTGCTGCATTCACAACCCAAGCTTCACACACATATAAGAGTGTTGGTACTACTATACTTTCATACATTCCCTTCTTTGCCTCCATAGATAATGTTTTTTGTCTCCACATATACCTCTATGCACCACTCACATTTTTTCCTTCATCACTTCTATGATTAACCTCGTCCTTCATAAATCCATCCACTGACACGTCAACTCCCAAGTATCTGAAAACATTCACTTCTTCCATACTCCTCCTCCCCAATTTGATATCTAATTTTTCTTTTCTAAATCATTTGATACCCTCATC